ATTGGTTAACATATTCAGGATTTACCACTAGAGTTGAGACCATGACTCTTCTACCTTGGTGTCTATTTGCTGCATTTGCCTAGTACAGTGTCTTATACCCCACAAACACTTCTTGTTGAACGAACTGATGAATGTTTAAGTTCAGAAGAGCAGATAGTGGCCCAAGACTAGAGTATTAGCATTCCAGCCCAAAGGACTGAAAAGTGTCATAGGTCTATCCACACACAGAAGATGCTAGGCTGATCTGGCCAGTGGAACCACAGAGCTGAGACAGAGACCTTGTCCAGAGGCTATGATAAGATAGGGTAAACACAAATCAGGCTCACAAACAGTAGTTGGAATGGAGATCTAAGTGTTATATATGGGACCCCCTCAATGCACTATGGGAATGGAACACAGGGGTGAAAATGTTCCTTTTTTTTTTTTTTTTTGTCGGTCGTGGGGCTTGAACTCTGGGCCTGGGCGCTGTCCCTCAGCTCTTCAGCTCAAGGCAAGCGCTCTACCACTTGAGCTACAGCGCCACTTCCGGTTTTCTGGTGGTTTATTGGAGATAGGAGTCTCACAGTCTCTCCTGCCCGGGCTGGCTTTGAACTGCGATCCTCAGATCTCAGCCTCCTGAATAGCTAGGATTACAGGCGTGAGCCACCAGCGCCCGGCTGAAAATGTTCCATTCTTGAACTATATCCTGAGCCTGTATAGTATTTTTTAAGGACACTTTCTAAATTTGAATCTGTAACCCTGAGTTTACACAGCATTTTAATTTTAAAACTTACAGTAGAAAAATTAGAATATATAGAGAAATAAGATATTCCTTAGTAATCCTACCATAGAGGAAAAATCACCATAGTTACCATTTTGGTGTCATCTCACATTTTTTCTTAACATATATATATATATACATATATACTGTATGATAAATGGTATGTTATATTATTTATAAAATATTTTTCAAATCTTTTGTTATTAAAAAAAGGTAACAAACAAACAAAAAAAGGTAATGCTGGGCTGGGATGTAGTTCAGTGGCAAAGCGCTTGCCTAGCAAGTGCAACGTCCTGGGTTCAATCCCCAGTACCAAAAAAGAAAAGACAAAAAAATACAGTTAAAAAAAAACCCAAACTAAAAAAGGTAATGCACAAAGGGATTGCAGTTACGGAAGTCAGGTAGTCATTTCTTTTTGGACAATGTCACCCTTTCTTATATATATTCTACATATAAAATAACGAATTTTATTTATATCTTAATATAACTAATTACATATGTTTATATACTTAAATGTGTAGTGGATCTATGGCATTTTATTTATATTAATGTTAAATAATTAAGGATATGCCATGCAAACATCGACAGTAGGTTTTTTTGAACAAAAATATCTTTTCCTAGCACGATGCTGTAAGGATCTCTGTCTGCCAGTAGATGGCACTATTTTCATTTGTCAGCGTAAGTAGAAGTCTAAAATGTTTGCCTCTAGGCAATATTTTTGTTTTATTTTTCAGTTTTACCATTTGTTTACTAAGTGGCAGGTGACAATAAACAAGTTACTTGCTTTCCTTTAGGATATTCACTCAGGAACTTCCAAAACCCTTTTGGCTTCCAAAACATCTTTGGCTTACATTCACAAGCAAGGCTTAGAGAGACCATGCATTAATCCTCTCCCTTGTTTCCTAATAGAAGCTATTAATAAGGACTAGCTAACCCATCGTTATTTTAGAGAAAAAGCTATCAGGCCTTTCTGAGGCTATGAAAAGCAAACAAAACAAAAATGAAGCATTAACTCTAGAATTCTTGTTTTCCACATAGGACAGTATTAATCAAATCATGCAGATTTCTTTCATGGCTAGTTAATAATGAACTTAAAAAATTACACATTCTATTGTAATGCACCTAATTTTTTGTGGCTCAAACCTTTCAAAACAGTAACAGATGAGCTAGATGCTGGTGGCTCATGCCTATCATTCTAGCTACTCAGACGAGATCTGAGGATCTCGGTTCAAAATCAGCCTAGGCAGGAAAGTCTGTGAGATTGTTATCTCGAGTTAATCACCAAAAAGCCCTGCGTGGAGTTGTAGCTCTAGTGGTAGAGTGCTAGCCTTGTGCAAAAATACTTAGAGACAGCACCCAGGTCCTGAGTTCAAGCCCCAGTATAGGCACAAACAGAAAAAAAAATCTTAACATAGGGTAGATGCTGCGATATGTCGGACAAGAAATTATATCTGAAGTGAGAAGAAAGGATGAACAATTCAGGGTCGAGAAAGCAAGGGAGAGGGGTGACATTATCCCAAAAGAAATGTACTCTGCCTGACCTGGGTAACTGTAACCCCATCTGTACATCACCTTTATAATGTCAATAACAAATTTAGAAAATATTCCGGGTCCGATGCGGGAACTGAGAGACGTTCGTGTTCAGTAGTGGAATAACATCTCAGCTACCGGATCAGCGAGGCCAGCAAAGGCCGGCTGGCCAGGCTGCGTTTGTTTTCCTGGTGACTACAAGGATTCCCTGTAAACGTGCTAAGGAGAAAATGCTCGAAGGCTGTGTTTCCAGATCGGATAGGCTCAGCACCAGGTCCTTCTTGGGCATGTTCCCTTCGAATGAGAAGAAGGTCCGGCGATTTTTAAGTTTTAGGCTATTTTTAGCTTATCCTCTACTTTCGGACTCGCGGGAGACACTTTCCAGCCTAACGAGCGTGAACGGCTGGTCTCCCGCCTGGGCCCGGGACGCCTGGAAGCCCAGCCTGGCCCCACCTGTCGCGCACACTCTGCACACCCCGCGATCCCCAAGTGCGGGCAGGTGTCCTCTGCCTCGCCCCGGACCCGGAGTCGCAGCCTCGCAGCGGGCGAGCCTCTGAAATCCGCTGCCTCCCTCGGGGACAGCGAGGCCAGGGAGAGGGTGTCGGGGTGTGTGTGCGTGTGTGTGTGGATGTCTGAGAAGCAAAAGGCACCCAGCCCCCCCGACTGGGGTGGAGTGGGGTGTCGGGGTCCGGCCCTGCACGCGTTCCTCCGACTCCGGCCGCACGGGGCCGCGCTCCCAAGCCCCGTCCAGTCCTGCGCACGGCCCTCCGCCCTCCAGCGTCTTTCGCGTCCGCGACCCCGGGAACCCTTCCAAGCCCCTAGCGGCGGTGACTCCGGGTGTCCACGGGTCCCAGCGGGGCCGAAGGGTCACCCAAGCCGGCGAACCTCATTCCCAAGGACAAGCAGCGAGTGGCAGCACCGCTCCCCCTCCCCCGTTCCCTCGCCGGACTCGGCAGGCTGCAGTGACCCAGCCCCTCCAGAACCCCTCCCTACCCCCACCCCAGGCGGCCGCGGGGAGGCACGCGCCCGGACCCCGCCCCTTCTCCAAACTTCTACCCGCGCGCGCGGGTTCTTCCCTCGGTCCGACCCCTCTGCGCCATCCGGCTCCTCCCCCTCGCTCTCCACCCCCTCCACCTCCTCCTTTTCTGGTCCCCTCGGAGGAATCCGCCCCCCTCCCGCCCGTCGGGTCTGGGGATCCTCCCCCGACTCCCCCCGCGTGCCGCCGCCGCCGCCGCCCAGGTTCCTCCCCCCCCCCCAGCCCGGGCGCTCCCTGCCAAGCCCATGATGTAATGGTGTATGTTAATCAGTAGCATGTGGGGAGCTCCGGCTCTGGCGGCTCAGTCCTCCGCGAGCCGACACTGGAGGCAGCAGCAGCTACAGCAGCAGCGGCGGCGGCAGCGCCCCGATCCCGCCGCGCCGTCCTCTCCCCGGGCTGCCCGCCCCGACGGCATGGCCCGCAGCCCGTGCTTCGGGCAGAGAAAAGACAGAGGGGAGAGGACAGAGAGGGAGAGAGGGAATGAGAGAAAGAGAGACAGAGAGGAGGGAGAGAGAAAGAAAGAGAGAGATAGAGAGAGAAGCTGGTACCAGTGGCTCATTCCTATAATCCTAGCTACTCAGGAGGCAGAGATCTGAGGAT